GCCCCCCGCTCAGCTGCTTCCCCGCCGCGCGGCCAGTTCCGTCACTGCCTGCAGCTGTGGGTTGAACTGGGAACAGCCGCTTGCAGGGCGACAGCCTGACACCCCTGCACAGGGTGACACCGGCGACAGCCTGACACCCCTGCACAGGGTGACACCAGTTACAGCTGTGACAGCCAGGTGACAGTCGTGCACAGGGTGACAGCCTGTCACCTGAGCCAGACTGGCAGGTGGGGAACGTGGGGACAAAGAGCAGTTCCCTTACCTGGCTGCAGTTTGTTACCACAGCGTGGGCGCATCCGTTTCTGCAACGTTGGCCCTCCTAATAATTTCCAATTGTGACTTGTAGACAAGGTGTGAGTGAGCTCCCCTCTGACAGCTGGTGATGAGCTGGGGAGAGAAAAAGGCTTCAGGCCCAGATTGTATTTACATGAACACATCCACTCTGCCTTGGTATCCAGCAGACAGAGCTGTGCTGCCCAACTGATCAAGTTTGTCTGGTGTTGGGTTACAGCAGGAGTCATTAAATGTTGTTATTGTAGGAGTAAAGGGCAACAGAACTGCGCTTAGCCTGTCCTGATTGAGGGGGTTACCCTCAGCCCTGGCACCTCTAGACTTGGCAGTTCATAGCCCCAGGGCCTCTGGGTTTGCCACATCAATGATTAATGTAAAAAACTTGCTGGAGCCCTGGCACTTAATTGTTGGAACCCCAGCACCTTTTTCATTACAAATTAAGCATTGCTCACCGTCAGCTGAACTGCACTCGGTAAGCAGGGGGTTGGATGCCAGATCCCAGCGTAGAGAAAGGGTGGGGGACAGGTGTTTTGCTTGGTGGTGTCAACTCTGCCTAAGAGTCACAGGCGCCATTTGACCTGCCCCTCTCCCTGGTTTAAGGATAGAGCTGATTAGACTCCATAGTCCTTTGGTTTTTTAAGTGACCACTGATAATCTAAGGGCGTAGACTTGTTGCAGGACAGCATTTCTGTGGAAGACCCTGTCCAGGCTGCACTAGCAGTGAGGTTCCCCACTGAGAGTTGGTGGAACCTCAAGAGACCAACTCGCAGAGCTCACAGTGGGAGGTGACGGCGTAGGGCCATTGGCAGTGGAGTGAATGGTGGCATGACAAACAGCAGGCAGAGCGAGCAGCCGGAGCAAGTGGCGAGCGTCTGGAGGAAAGAACAAGGTGCCTTCTCCCCCGCAACCTCCCCCCGCAGGGTGGGAGGTGAACTCACATGAAAGCACCTCTGAACTCTGTGTCTCCACTGACCAAGGACAACAGCTATGAGTGGGGTGCAGTGGAGGGAGAAGGGAGGAGTACATTAAAGGAACATTTGTTTGTTGGACTACGTTTTAGTGACTTTGCTCCCAAATGCTAGATTTGTGACTGGGAAACTAATATAAATATACATTTCCTAGTAGGCCAAGATTTTTAAAATACATTATTTGCCAAAGTAATTATCTCACATTGTTGCTATCTTGAGAGATCACTATCTTGGGGAATTTTAGTACTAAACATTTGTATTGTTATATTATAATTCATTTTACGTAAGAACGGTCATACTGGGTCAGACCAATTGTCCATCTAGCCCAGTATCCTGTCATCTGACAGTGTCCGATGCCAGGTGCCCCAGAGGGAATGAACTGAACAAGTAATCATCCAGTGATCCATCCCATGTCATCCACTCCCAGCTTCTGGTGCGCATAGACTAGGGACACTCAGAACATGATGTTGCATTCCTGCCCATCCTGGCTAATAGCCATTGATGGACTTGTCCTCCAGGAACTTACGTAGTTCTTTTTTGAACCCTCTTATAGTTTTGGCCTTCACACCATCCTCTGGCAAAGAGTTTGAAAGGTTGACTGTGCGTTGTGTGAAGAAATACTTCCTTGTGTTTGTTTGTTTTAAACCTGCTGCCTATTAATGTAATTGGGTGACCCCTAGGTCTTGTGTTATTTGAAGGGCTAAATAACACTTTCTTGTTCACTTTCTCCACACCAGTCAAGATTTTATAGACCTCTATCATATCCATTCTTAGTCATCTCTTTTCCAAGCTGAAAAGTCCCAGTCTTATTAATCTCTCCTCATATGGAATCTATTTCATACCCCTAATCATTTCAGTTCTTCTCTGTACCTTTTCCAGTTCCAATATATCTTTTTTTGACATGGGGTGACCAGAACTGCATGCAGTATTCAAGATGTGGGCATACCGTGGGTTTATATATTAAAAATGGAGGAGCTTGGTTTGCCAAACTGATCAGCAAAGCCAATGCTGACAACCTACATTAAAAGGCTGCAAAACGCCAAGCCTCTGGACTGCGTCGACATGCAGAAAGCCTTGTAAGCCAGTCACCATCAAAGCCAATTTTAGAAGAACTTAACGAGGCTTTTAAGAATTCTGGAGACACAACACAGTTTTGAGAACAAATGTGGCTGTCACAACAATCGTACTTTCTATTTAAGCAAGAGATACCACACCCTGCAAACAGGAGTCCAATGTTAAATTCGTTTTCCGTTGTTAATCCTGAAGTTGGACACTGGTTCCGAACAAGACCAGCAAATGTTCGCTATCTTTCTGCAAGAAACTCAACTGGCTGGTTAGAAGCATGTGGTGCAGCAGTGAAAGGTTCAGCAGTTGAAAAAGTGAAGAACTCTCACTGCATTCAGAAAATGTGCATATGTGGCCGATGAATGAATCGATGCACATGGGCATCAATTATTAAGTCATTTTGATTATTTTCATGTCAGTAGCAGGCCAACAGCTGCATTTCTAGATGTTCAGATTATAGACGACACATCTGCTGCATCTCTGACAACCCACGTCTTAGAGTTAATTGCTTGTAAATTGAACCCCAGAGAGATGGCTGCTTGTGCATTTGATGGAGCTGCAAACTTCTCTGGAAGACATAGTGGAGTATAAGCTTTGCTCAAAGAAAAGTATAACCCTAATCTCTCCTATACACAATGCAGAGACCATCTTCTCCAACTAGCACTAGTATGAGTGCAGAATCTTCAAAAGATATTTAAAAAGCCATCAGTTTAATGTATTCATTATACTCTTTCCCCCCCACCCCCCCCAGCAACAGTCCAGAAGGACTGAATGTCTTGGAAAAAATATAAGATACAATGTGACTGAAGTTCAAATTAGTCCAACCTGGGAAAACCCGCTGGCTTTCTCATGAGTGATCCTTGGCTGTTGTCTTAAAATTACTGCAACCATTATTACTGGCTTTGGAAAGTATCTACCGAGATAGGACAGATCTAAGTAGTGAGGCTGGTGGACAACTTTTGCTACTAAGTTTACAGAAGACTATCACCATTCTCTCTCTCTTAAGTCTACTGTTGAAACCACTTGGGTCATTAAACAATGCCATCCAGGCAGAGTAGATCTCTGTCCAGCAATAGCTGCTACGCTTGGATCAATCAAAGAGAGAGCCATTGAAAATGTACTGGAAGAAGCAAAGACTTCAATCAAGAAGTTGACTAATGGAGGCACTTATATTGAATCCTTAAGTGAAGAAGACAAGAAGCGTTTGTTAAGACAGCTGAAAAAGTACACAGACTTGATTCTTACAAATCTACAACAGCGACTTCTGGATTCTACTCAACCTCCACGTAGCTTTTACAGATGCCTGTCTTATAAAACACCGACTGTTAAGTGAAGTGAGACACTACCAACAATGGGGCTGCCATGTGATCAGGACAGAGCAAAGAATTTGAACACAGAGTGGAATATCATACGATGAACGGACAAAGATTTGACTTCAACTTTTTCTTTTTCATCACTCGTGGCTCGACCTGATCTTTGTGCTATGTTTCCTGGGATGAAAAAAGTAGGAATACATCTCTTGCTACTCCCAGTCTCAACAGCTACAGTTGAGTGTTCTTTTTCCTCGTTGAATAGACTTTTGTGTTCTGAAAGGAGTTGCCTTCTGCATAATCATGAGCATATCCTGAAGGACTGGAAGTACCGGACACATGAGAAGCCACCAAAAAATGAATGCAGTACATTTGAGAAGTTCATTAACAGAGTTGTGCAAAATTACAAGAAGAAACCAAGAAGGATGTAGAAGTCGTGCTTCATAGCAGGCTTGAGTAGCCAACTTTAATTTGTATGATGATTTTAAAACATGAGTTAAATCTAATAAAATGGTTGTGAAACATTTTTCAGTTTTTACTATGGTGCCATACAGCCCACCTTCACCCTCACAGTCTAACCTCTCATCCGCCCTCAGTCCCCTGTAAATTTGAACACTCCCACTTAATTTCAATTCCCAGGGAAAACACTGGAGCTGGGGGCCTGGCTGGGGCAGGAGCCCAGAGGAAGGAGGTTTGGGGGGGCTAAGGGGCGCCGGGGGTGGGGGCCTGGCTGGGGGTGAGGATCTGGCTGGGGCAGGAGCTTGAAGGAAGGAGGTTTGGGGCAACTGAGGGGCACTGAGAAGGAGGCTAAGCCTGGGCGTAAGGGGAAAGGGGGAGACAGAATGGTCGTTCCCCTCAGCCTTTTTCCTTCCCACGGTGCTGTCTCCCCCAATCCTCTCCAGTGTTACACCCTGGAGCCACCTTCTCCCTCTTGCCACCTGGACGTCTCCCCAGCAACTCCCCTAGGCACTTCATTGCCCCTTCTTCCCAGGGGAATCCTCCAGCCCATCTTCCCCTCCTGGGGTTCATGCCCCCTTGGTGCAGTGGCCTGGGTGCAGTGCCCTCCCACATACTCCCACAGCCCAGCACCATGCTCCCCAGGGTATCTCTAGGGGCTCTCCCAGCCCCTTCCCATCCCCCACCCTGAGGTCTCTGTGCTGTGCCCTCTTCCCACCCTAGAGTTCCACCCCCACAGGATCTTCTGTCACCTTTGCTTAGCTTCCTGGCCATGTGGTGTGTCCTGGGGCTATTTCTTCTCTCACTCTGGAGCTGTGCCCCCTTTACCAATCGCTTCCTGGTGCACCCCCGAAGTCCCCCTATGGAGCTCTGCTCCCCTGGCCTCTGGGCTCACCCCACAGCGCTACATTTCCTGCTTGTCTTCTCACTCTCTGTCTCCCCCACTCTCCCAGGTGAGCACGACAGTAGCAGCAGCAGCAGCCTCCTGGTGGTCAGGATCCTGGCGCCCAGCCCCTCCCGGGGCCCCTGTCTCCTGGACAGTGGCAGCAGCATGAACGGCAGCGTGGCGCCACCGGGGGTGGTGGAGGCGGCGGCAGCACCGCTGCCCTCGCCCGGCTGGCGGGATTTCTGCGAGGCCCATGCCCGGGCAGCCGCCCTGGACTTCGCACGGCGTTTCCGCGCTTTCCTGAGCGAGAACCCCCAGTTTGCAGCACCAGGGGCTGAGGCTGCCTTCTCCCGCCGCTTTGCGGAGCACTTCGTGGAGCACTTCGAGGCCGAGGTGAGCCGGGCCTGTGCCGGCGACTCACCCCCCCGCTGCGACATCGCTCCCTTCACTGGTGCCCACCATTGCCCTGGGGGCGCCGCCTCCTCCTCCACCCGCGACCTCTCCGAGACCTGCAGCGACTCCTCGGTGGCCTCTCCGGTGGAGCCACAGCCCGGCCTGGCCTCGGGGTTGTCCAGCAGCCAGTCTCGTAGCTCTGAGGACGTCTCAGCCTCTGCCGCGACTGCCAGCACGAAGCCTAAGCTCAAGAAGCGCTTCTCCCTGCGCAACGTCAGCCGCAGTGTGCGGGGCAGCATGCGAGGCATCCTGCAGTGGAAGAGCTCAGCCGAGTCCCCCACCGAGGAGGAGGCTGGCGGGGCCAACACCAATTCCAACTCCTCAGGGGGTGGGGCCGCGGACTCCTTGCCCACCGAGCGCTGGACACACAAGTTTGAGAGGCTGCGGCTCAGCAAGGCGCCTGCCCCCAAAGTGGAACTGTCCAGTGTGCGCCGGGAGGGGCTACTCAATTATATCGTGGCCGATGACAGCGGAGGGGGGGGTGGTAGCCGGGCCCGATGGCAGAAATGCCGGCTGCTGCTGCGGAAGGCAGGCAAGGGAGAGGGCGAGGGCTACCTGCTGGAGTTCTACATCCCCCCCAAGGTGAGAGGCAGTGGGAGTTGTGTCCCATCCTGGGAGGCAGCCCCCCACCTGATGGGATTCCTCATGGGGGGGCTGCTAGTAGGGATTGGCCGGGGGAGCCTCAGGTCCGGGGTGGCAGAGAGCTGCGGTTCAGGATTAAGGAGCATTGCTAGAGCTGTACATATTGTGAGAGACGAGGTGGAATGAAAGGTGTTCTGGAGACAGGGCTTCTGGGTACCTTGCCTGGCTTTGGGAGGAGAGTGGGGGTTTAGCGGGGTACAGCAGTGGATCTTAACCTTTCCAGACTACTGTACCCTTTTCAGGAGTCTGATTTGTCTTGTGTACCCCAAGTTTTATCTCTCTTAAAAACTACTGGGCTCATATAAATATTCTACTTACATTTCAATGTATAGTGCATAGAGCAACACATCATTGGCTGTATGAAATTTTAGTTTGTACTAGGGCTGTCAAATGATTAAAAAAATTGCGAGTAATCAGGAGATTAAAATTTAATCGTGATTAATTACCATTTTAATTGCGCTGCTAAACAATCGTAGAATACCATTTAAATATTTTTGGATGTTTTCTACATTTTCAAATATATTGATTTCAATTACAACAGAGAATACAAAGTGTACACTGCTCACTTTATATTATATTTTATTAGAAATATTTGCACTGTAAAAAGATAAACAAAAGAAAGAGAGTATTTTTCAGTTCAGCTCATACAAGTCCTGTAGTGCAATCTCTTTATCATGAAAGGGCAACTTATGAATGTAGAATGTTTTGGTTTTGGTTTGGTTTTTTTACATAACTGCACTCAAAATGAAAGCAATGTAAAACTTTAGAGCCTACAAGTTCACTACTTCTTGTTCAGCCAATCGCTAAGAGAAACAAGTTTATTTACATTCACAGGAGATACTGCTGCCCACTTCTTATTTACAGTCACGTAAAAGTGAGAACAGGTGTTCTCATGGCACTGTTGTTGCTGGCGTTGCAAGGTATTTACATGCTAGGTATGCTAAACATTCGTATGCCCCTTCATGCTTCGGCCACCATTCCAGAGAACATGCTTCCATGCTGATGACGGGTTTTGCTTGATAATGATCCAAAGCAGTGCAGACCAACACACGTTCATTTTCATCATCTGAGTCCGATGCCACCAACAGAAGGATGATTTTGGGGGGGTGGTTCAGGTTCTGTAGTTTCCAAATCGGAGTGTTGCTCTTTTAAGACTTCTGAAAGCAAGCACCACACCTCGTCCCTCTCAGATTTTGGACGGCACTTCAGGCTCTTAAACCTTGTGTCAAGTGCTGCAGCTGTCTTTAGAAATCTCACATTGGGACCTTCTCTGCATTTTGTCAAATCTGCTGTGAAAGTGTTCTTAAAACAAACAACATGCTGGGTCATCATCCAAGACTGCTATAACATTAAATATCTGGCAGAACACAGGTAAAACCACAGAGCAGGAGACATACAATTCTCCCTCAAGGAGCTCAGTCACAAATTTAATTAATGCGTTATTTTTTGAACGAGCGTCGTCAGCATGGAAGCATGTCTTCTGGAATGGTTCATGAAGGGGCATATGAACGTTTAGCATATCTGGCACGTAAATACCTTGCCATGCCAGCTACAAAAGTGCCATCTGAATGCCTTCTTCTCACTGTCTGGTGACGTAAATAAGAAGCGGGCAGCATCTCCGGTAAATGTAAACAAACTTGTTTGTCTTAGCGATTGACTGAACAAGAAGTAGGACTGAGTGGACTTGCTCTGGAGTTTTACACTATTTTGTGTTTGAGTGCAGTTATGTCAGAATCTACATTTATCAGTTGCACTTTCACGATAAAGAGATTGCACTACAGTACTTGTATGAGATGAATTAAAAATACTATTTATTTTGTTTTTTACAGTGCAAATATTTGTAATAAAATATTTAAAGTGAGCAGTGTACGCTTTGTGTTCTGTGTTGTAATCAAAATCAATTTATTTGAAAAGGTAGAAAAACATCCAAAAGTATTTATAATAAATGTAAATTGGTATTCTATTATTCTTTATTTAGTGCAATTAAAACTGTGATTAATCACAATTAATTTGTTTGTTTAATTTGTTTTGAGTTAATCACTTGAATTAACTGCAATTAATTGACAGCCCTAGTTTGTATTGACTTCGCTAGTGCTTTTTCTGTAGCTGTTGTAAAACTAGGCAAATGTCTAGATGAGTTGATGTACCCTCTGGAAGAACTCTGCGTATCCCCAGAGGTACACATACCCCTGTTTGAGAACCACCGGGGTAGAGCGGGGGTAGGAGAGTCAGGTTGGACTCCTGGGTTCCTGATCTGGCTGTGCAGTCTTGGCAAAGTCCCTTCCCTGGGCTGCACCCTCAGTGTAACAGGTCAGTAATGACTCCTGTCCCATCACACTTGGCCTGACACAGCCCTGTGTGGGGAGGGGATGAATGGCCCGGCCCAGGGCTGGGTTGATTGCGGGTCCCATCTCACCTTGCTGTCTCTCACCTGCCCTCAGTCCACCAAGGCCCGGGTCAGCATCCTCTGCTCGGCGGTGACAGATGTGCGCACCACCACGCCGCTGGAGATGCCTGACAAGGAAAACACCTTTGTCTTAAAGGTGGGTGCGGGGGACTGGGAGGCGCTGTGGGGGGAATTGCTCGGGGGGGGGGGAGAGAATCAGCCACACCCCTTCCTTGCACCACTGCTGTCGTGGATTAAGCATGGGGCTGGGGTGGAGCAGGTGGAACCATCTGAGGGCTGTGACACACCCCCCCACCGGGGAGGGGGAGCAGGGAGGAGGGGATCATCCCCCAGTGCTGAGGGTCTGAGCAGGAAGCCCCAGCTGTGGGGCCAGGCTGTGGAGATGTTCTGTGGGGGAGGGGTGTAATTGGGTTCTGGGAGGTTGGGGTGGCCCCACAGGCGTGTGCAGGAGGAGTTCTGGAAGATGTCCTGGGGGTGCCGTGCTGGTGGGGGAGGGGAGGAGGGGGGTGGGAGCACCTGAGGCTGGAGTGGCAGAAGAGGGGTGCCATAGGGCTGGGGGATTGGGATGCTGGAGGGGTGGAGGGAGGAGCACCATGAGGGACTGGGAAGGGGGTGCCCGGGGCACTGGTGCTGACCCGGTGTACCTGGCAGATGGAGAACTCTCTCGAGTACATCCTGGAGACGGTCGATTCGCTGCAGATGAGGTCGTGGCTGGCCGACATCCAGGACTGCATGAGCCCGGGGTGAGTGAGCCAGCGTCCGGCCGCAACCCCAGCTCTGACATCTCCCCATCACGGCAACAGGGCTCCGGGTCCCCTTCGCCTTGCTCTGGGATCCCCCTGTGCCACCAACTCCTCCACCCCCTGCATTGTCCTGGCTTCCTTCTCCGGGCCTGCGCTCAGTGCAGGGTCCAGATCCCTGTTCCTAGGAGGGGGAGCCAGGCAGCATCCCCCGGGGTGGGGGTGTCCTTCACCTGTGAATCATGCCGGTGTCCCTGCAGGGAGAACACGGACAGCACAGACCTGCCCTGCCTCAACCACTCGGAGAGCATGCCAAGCCGGGAGCTACCCCTGCTGCCCAGCGAGAGCAACGAGCAGCTCTCCCAGGGTGAGTGTCAGCAGAGACCCCTGGTCCTGCCAGCCCCCCGAACCACCCCCTAAGCCATCTTCCCCCGTAACCAAATCCCCAACCTCTCTACCCCGTACCCTCCCCAGGCCTGCCTCTTCTCCCCCTAAACCAGCACCCCGTAGCTGGCCCCCCTGCCCTGCATCCCCATTTACCAGGGGCCTGTAGCCAGCCCCCTTCCCAAGCCCTGCCTCCTCCCCTACCATAGATGGATGGCATGCTCCCAGCTCTGTCCCAAAGCCGCAGGGTCGGTGCTATGGCCACAGCTTTGGAACAGTCTCTCAGAGGACCTGTTCAGTGAGCCAGACCCCCTGGGGTCTCTCTTCTTCCTGGATAAGCCATGTGGCTTCACTGCCTGCTTAGACTGGACCTCTGGGCTGCAGCCTCCTGCTTCCCCCAGCTCTGCCCAGCGAGTCCTGCTGAGCCAGACCCTGGCAGAGACGTGCCCACACTGCCGGGACGGTGCCCCTCGCCCAGCGTGGCAGGGACAGCCCCATAGCGCTGGCGCGCAGTTGGGTGTGTTAGCTGGCCACGGCACAGGGAGCCCTTAGGGTAGCGCAGAGGGGTGCAGGTTACAGCCCAGTCCGTTCTGCTCAGCCCAGAGCCCCGCCAGGCTGTGGGGAGTCCCTTGGGGCAGGCTCTCTCCCCGTCTGTCTGATCATCTTTGTCAGGCTCCCAGGTTGTGGTCTGCTGGAGGCAGTCAGGATACTTCCCCTCCCTTCCCCCTCCCCTCAGTCCTTTGCCCCCAAGCTGGGGAGATGCAGCTCAGACCCCTGCTAAGAGGTGGGTGTGGCATTCCCTTGACCGGACTGCCATGTCCCCTTAGCTCTCCAGCCTGGTGCCTTGGACATTGCTCACGCGCAGCCCCTAGCATGGACAGCCACTCGCAGATGTTTACATGAAGCTCTCCCAGCCAGCCATGAGTCGACACAGGGTGGCACCCGCATATCCCCTGTTCCAGCTCTGGCCCCCCCGTAATGTGCCTCTTACACTGCCCAGTAGCCCACTGGACAATACAAGCTCATAGACAGTTGAACATCCCAACAAAGGGTAACGTTCATGCACCAGCCTTTGTTGTCTCAAGTCGAGGTTTCTTAAACACTTCAATTGAACCAGCTGGTTTAGAGAAAACAGTAAACAGAGTTTATTATCTGGAGAAAGATCCAGTTAAGTGATAAGGGAAAAGGCATAAAAGTCAGAATTGGTTACAAAAGAAAAAGATAAAACCACTAGCTAATTCCTAAACTTTACCAAGCTCAATAAGATTTGAAGCAAACATCATTCTCTCCACACCAGATGCTGCCGGTAATTCTCAGTTCATAGGCTCTCTCTCCTTTCAGCCTGGGACTACTCCCCTTAGTTCAATACCCTGCAGGTCTTCATTGATGTAGGAGGAGAGGAGAGGTGGCTAGAGGCGTTTCCCCCTCTTTGACACCCCAAGCCTTCTGTGCTGGACAAGCCCTTGCTGGGTCATAGGGCCGGCGGTTCCATGGTGTACATCAGCTCAGGTGAATTGTAAATTTCCTGTTTGCAAGTCCCCTGCTGGTGAATCTCTGATTAAGCAGGCAGTGATCTTTTAGCCCCTAGCTGGCATAGCTTTGTCTCTGAGAAATTGGCTTATGGGGTTATGCAGAATCACAACATATTTCACTAACAATCATACAGTAAAACCTCATAATTTGACATGAAGTGTTGTTACACACATTTCAACGGGGCCGTGATGTTCAGCAGATGGAGTTTTCAAATGATACCTCACAAAGGCACACTTTGTACCAAATATATCGCAGCCATATAAAAGTGGTGACCATGGAGTACAGGGTGTCACAGCAGGGAAATCGGTATGTCTCTGGGTTGTTGGTTGCTAGGTATTGGATTTGTCATTGTCTTCTGAAGAGCTCCACTGATATGGGATCTAAGGGTCCAGACAACTAGGCGACACCCACACCTGTGTCCTAGCCTGGTGAGAGCACACAGACCTGTTCTCCCCTCTGAGCAACAATGCAGCACAGGAGGGAAACTCTGGTGCACACACACCAACCTGTATAAAAATGTTACAAAAAATTGTCACTTTGTGACAACCTGCCATACCAGCACCCTAACTCCATAACTGGTCCCCAAACCCCACTCTTCTCCCCCCCCCCAGGTACCAGCACCCCATAGCTGGTCCCCCCCCAGCCCTTCCTCTAGACCAGCTCCTTCAGCCATCTTCTCCCCTACACCTGCCACGCTAGACACATAGCCTGTCTCTCCATCCCCAGCTCCCTTCTCCCCAGCCTGGTTCCTCCTTTTCACACTTGGCTCCTGACTCCTCTTCCATCCACTGCTTCTGGGTGCAGTGACCCAGCACAGCCAAAGCTGGCATGGGCTTCCCTGTGGCTGGGAGGTGGTGCAGAAAGAGTTACCCCCTGGGCCCAGGGGATCTCGAAGCAGCCATGGGCTGAGGGTGTCTTATTCAGGGGCGGGGTCTGCAGGGGTGGCAGTGACTAGAGAGAGGAGACACGGTAGACAATAACGGAGAGAAGAGGGAGCTGAGATGGGTACATGGGGAATGGTGGATCCAGAGAATGTGCTGCCCTGGGCCAGTGGAACTGCCCGCCACTGGATCACACTGCGTTCAGGAATTGGGTGCTTCCAGAGAAAACCAGACCAGCTGGACCTGCTGAGGAGGGAGCATGAGCCACACAGCATGGGATGGCCTCAGCATGAGCCAACCCTGAACTGGGTCTGTCCCAGCGCCCCCAGCTCTGTGGGGATTGGTAACTTCATCTGCATCTGTCCCCCCAGGTGCGTATGGGGGTCTGTCCGAGCGCCCCTCGGCTTCCATCTCCCCCAGCTCCATCTCCATTGCTGCTTCCCACTTCAACTCCATGGAGCTGCTGCCTCCTGAGCTGCCCCCCCGGGTCCCCATCGATGAGGCAGCTGAGCGGCTGCAGGGTCCGTACCCCTCTGGCCTGCTGCACACACCCTTCCCCGACACTCCTGACGCCACAGGTACGGAGCAGAGGAGTCCATGCGGGGATACTGGGGGAGGAGTAATGAGGAGTTCGGGGGGACCATGTAGCCAGAGATGGGGGGGGTTTCCAGGAGGTGTGTGTCAGGAGCGGGACCCAGAGTGGAAAAGAGATTTTGTGGGAAGCAAAGGTGTAATTGGGAAGGGGGTGTGGGATGAGGGGGAGGTCTCTGGTGGTGGGTGTGCTTGGGGGGCTGGGGATACCAGGTCTGTAGGAGGGGCATGCTGGGGGGGTGTACTGGGTCTGGTGGGCGTGTGTTCAGGGGAGGGGGGAATGGGTCTGGGGGAACGTGCCAGGGACGGGGGCCGAGTGGGGTGTAGGTTGGGGGGATGTGCCAGGGATGGGGCTGAGAGGAGGAGGAGGAGGAGGTTGGGGTGAAGGGACAGGTGCTGAGTGGGGAGCAGGTCAAGGGGACGTGCCGGGGACGGGGGCCGAATGGGGAGCAGGTTGGGGGGATGTGCTGGGGACAAGGGCTGAGCGGGGAGCAGGTCAGGGAGAAGGGACGGGGACTGAGCGGGGAGCAGGTCGGGGGGACATGCCAGGGACTGGGCTGAGTGGGGAGCAGGTCGGGAGAATGTGCCAGGGACGGGGCCGAGTGGGGAGCAGGTCGGGAGAAGGGGACGGGGACTGAGCGGGGAGCCGTGCCCCCTGTGTGCTGTTTCACTCCCCTTTCCCGTGTCAGGCTCGTTCCTGTTCCAGGGGGAGCCGGATCCCGGGGGGGGCGACCCAGAGCACCCCCTCTCCGAGTACCCCTGGTTCCACGGCACCTTGTCCCGGCTGAAGGCTGCCCAGCTGGTCCTGGCTGGCGGCCCCAGCAGCCATGGTGTCTTCCTGGTGCGACAGAGCGAGACCCGGCGTGGGGAGTACGTGCTGACCTTCAATTTCCAGGGCAAGGCCAAGGTGAGTGCCCGAGCCCGTGGACCCATCCCCAGAGAAGGGCCAGGAGCCCTGGGGCCGCGGAGCCTGTGGCCATGGTCTGACCCGCTTCTCCCCTTCCCCCCGCCAGCACCTGCGCCTGTCGCTGAACGAGGATGGGCAGTGCCGCGTGCAGCACCTCTGGTTCCAGACCATCTTTGACATGCTGGAGCACTTCCGAGTGCACCCCATCCCGCTGGAGTCAGGCGGCTCCAGCGACGTCACCCTGGTTAGCTATGTGGTGGCCTCGCAGCGGCTGCATGGTGAGAGCGTGGCGGGGGGCCCTGCTGCACCGGGAGTGGGGGGCGGCAGCCCCAGGGCACTGTGGGGTGGGTGTGCCGGGCGCCCGGAAGGGCACATCAGCTGCAGTTCCATTGGAGGCTCACAGCTCATTCATAACTGGCTGGAGGAGGCGTGGCTGGAGGCTCCCTGTCCGCCTGCTCCCCCGTGGGCTCTGTGGGGGAGGGGAGCCATGGGGCTGGCTGTTCCCTCTCTGTCTGTCTGTCTGCGAGGCTGGGTCTCCGTGCCGTGGGGGTTCCCATCCGGCTGTCTGGAGAGTGTCTGTCAGGGGAGGGGCATTTCCAAGCCCAGGCTGGTTGTTCCCCATCTGGCTTGGGGGAATGTGTTTGAGTCTTGCTGCCTGGAAGAGGAAGCATGCATGTGGTTGTGGGGGAGGGCTTGTGTCTATCTGGGGCTGGGGGAATGTGTGGAGGGAGGCGGGCGTGTATCTGGCTCAGCAGGGAGGGGGAGCGTGGCATGCGTCTGGCTCAGCGGGGGGGAGCCGGGCATCCCCCGTGTCTGGCCCTAGGTGATAGGGGGTGGGTGTGTGGGG